TGATACCTTCTATCAACCAACCAATAGTAAAAGGCCATCCATGGTGCCAGCTCCAAAAGTGAAAGCCCTGCCAGGTTGTCATAGGATGTGAGGTCGAATACCAAGCCTCTAAAAACAATTAGCCAATTCCTTGAAACTTCTGCCACTACTTCTGGTATCTCTGATTCTGCAGGGTCTAGCTTCAAGGAAACTGCCAAGGTTGATAGAATCCGGCCTTCAACTGCAACAATGCCAGGCATGCCAGCTCCCGTTTTCGGAAAGCTGTGCCCGTTTCTTTCAGAAAACTAAGCCACATGGGTTGTCTTCGCTGTACTAGACAAACACACTGAAAACGAAGATTGGTAATGTTGTCCGTTCCTGAAAGTTGTATCCTGTACGATCTGCTTGTACTTGTACATACTTGTACCAAAGTTCAAGTCAAATTAAATTCCCTAAATTACATGGAACCTACAACAAAAAACACTTCCAGTACCTACAGTATGTGGAAAACCTTCTCGTGAATTTCTACGCAAAGCTATGAGCAAACACACTCAACCACATCATTGGGGATACAAAGTCTTAATGACGCACCAAAGCACCATTTCCATCCTCTTCTAATCATTTTGTTGTCTTCTCCGAGCTGAACCAATTCCTCCACGGTCACCACCAGTGAACACCGACCACGTGGGGCCGGAGCAAAATTGGCGACAGCCCGAAATGTGCGACAGCCGATCAGTGCTGCCTAAACGGGCTACTTGAGGGGATAGGGGGATAAATGATGCAACTGCCCCCTGGGCAGTCAGTTATATTTTCAATTTCCTATAGAGTCAAAATTTGCCGAGGATTGGATTCAGATTTCAGAGTAAATGAGTAGATTGCACCTCAAGAGGTTCAATATGCGAATCCGGCACCCCTGTACATCTCACTCTTGAGAGTGACAATTCTATCTGCAACCATGGTTTGCCGAGGGTCTAGGGGCTAAGGAGTTCAGGCTGCTTGTTTGTAGGTTGGAAGCAACCAACTAAGCAACCATCACCCAGCAATTCCTGTCTATGGATACTTTGATTCAATGAACTTCTCGTGACTTAAAACCGTGAAGCCAGTAGAGCGTTGCGAATCAACACATGTTTCTGAAGAAGAAAAACTCTACCCTCCCAGCCCCAAGTGGGTTTGCAAAATAAAGTCCTCTACCAGGCAGTGGTGGTTATATTAGTTCTGGGAAGTTTGTTGTTTTGAATCTTTCTCGGCTTTGTTGCCTGAACTGAAAGGTGCAAACTCGCCATGTGACCTTGCCATGTAGCAGCAAAGAAGGGATCTGCGGCACCTCTCATCACAGCTCACCTCACCGACTGACCAACGGGACTTGACGGACTGTCCCTGCCGGTGGGAGGGGACGGCCGGACAGTCAAGCGCTCTGGGTTTGACAAAAATCCAGCAGACTTGATTTGCTATCCGAAATGAAGAGGTCTACTTGAAACTTCCGAGAATCCCACCAGAAAATGACGAGATGTGTGGAAAAATACCCACAAGGACCTTTGGACCCTCCCTACTTTTTGGGGAGGTCAACACACACATGCGCTGCTCCACTAGGCTCAACAGGTGTTTTTGGAGGCCGTGACACAACAATAATTTTTGTTTACGTGTGATAGTTTGTCACACTCAATGCAGGGTGGTCATAATACAACATGTCAGTGATGATTCAATTTGGGGGCTGCCAGAATATGTATATATATATATACATATACCGATGCAGCTAAGAACTCGTCCATGGTTCACCTCCTGCGAATAGCAAATCACATCCATCACAAGCAGTCCATGACAGCCAAGGCACTAATTGATCAGCTTCAACGACTTCAAAACCTTCCAGGTCCGGATGCACCGAATGCACTGACAAGCAGTGCTAACTGACATATGGGTGATGATCCAATTTCCTTCATCCGGGATCCGTCATTCTTAGCAAATAACAAAATTACTTTAGCCAAATTTTTGCCTTCTTGCGTTCTTTCGCGAAGTATCTTGTATCTATGTTTGCCATGTATGTTGTATGATGGATATCATGTTTCTTGTCAATGGTTTCTTCTGTGCTGGCAGATACGAAATAGCAACTTCACAGTTTGTCAGCATGTGTCTTCTACTTAACAGTTGACACCCTGTACGTGTCTTTTGTTTCTCAAAAAGCGCAAGAATCACTATCACTGCGGTAGCCGGTCGCTCAGACTTACTCATAATGGGCTAGGGGTAAGATGTGGCAGGGTGAACTTTCGCCAATCTTGAGCTGATTTTTTCCAAACTTTCGCCTTTTGCGGAGTAGAGCCTTGTGGCAGAGCCGCATGTCATCCCAACTCATAGCAGGCTCATAAAGAACCACTACAAACTCTTGGTGAATTCTCAAGGATTCAGCTCAGAAACACAAAACAGGTTGACCATTTTAGCTCGGAGCTTTCCCACATGGCCGACGATTGTTGTCAAAGTGTTTGGCTGGATGCTCGGGGTATAAGGTATGATGAATGTATACTGATACTGCATAAGGTATATAAACGGAATTTGCATGTTGGATAAGTCACAAAAAGCGAAAGACCCCCGCCCCAGCTTATCGGTCGCCACCCCTTCCTGTCCAGGCAGTATCTAAGCCAAAGCATCGTGATGGTTTATCCAGCTTGAAACACACCCAGTTTGTGAGGTGGTCGGACACAAAGCAGCTCATCGAACAGGCTCTGAAGATCTCTGAACTGCAAATTATGCAACAAATGCAGTGAAGGAACCCATGAAGCATCAAGCCGAATCAACCTTCCATCCATTTGCCACCCTCATAGGACCACAAGCCGGTCCTGGTATTATATAACAATCAACTATTCCACATAGAGGTACCATGGTAATAGCTTAATATATGGAAATAGTGAACTAATTATTCATTGATCAAAGAAACAAATCCCTCCAAGCTTCACCACCTTCACTGCGGTTTTGCTTACTAAGCCTCAAAGTGAAACAATCCCCATGCCATCTGTTCATTCATGTTCAGTGACAAATGTGAGTTGATGCCACAGCTCCCCAAACGAGTGCATAGCTGGTGATCACAAAAATCACACTTCAACTAGCGATCAACAGCCTTCCATCCGCCGTTTTCAGCAAACGACGTTTTCAGCCGCCCTTCGGTCCGGACGATCGGACGCGTCGGACCTTCGCAGGGTCCGTGTCCAATTGTGAGGTCTCCAGCATCGAGGCATGTGGCTCCAAGAGCTCTTCCACCTCGCCGGAGGCGTTTCGGAGGGCGGTCACATCACATGACTCTGGTTGAAGTGCTATGGGTTCAACAGGACACGCAGTGATTTCAAAGAACTTTGGACAACCCAAAACCATGTATTCTTGGGCACTGGGTCCTCTTGCGGTCTCAAAGCTTGGGAAGTTTATGAACATGCTCAGCTTTTTGCAACAGACGGACAAAGCTCCCACCGATCTGTGACAGTTCGACCATCCTCCAACAAAACGAGTCCAAAAACCCTATAAGATCTTATTGTTCCAGCCACGAGTCCAAACCAAGTCTATGAGTCGCAGGGACAGTCTCGCCTTGGTGATGTGTCGTGAATGTACTGCCTCAAAGAGCTCATCCTTGGATGTGAAGGAGCAAAAGGCCGTCGAGGCTGTGGGACAGAGGCAGGGGAAACGACTGTGGGGAAAGCGAAGTCCACCTGGAAGAGTTCAGAATCCGCTGGGAACAAGTGGTTGGACACTATGTTAGTTGGACCAAAATCCAATCTGACTGGGATGTGCCAAGAGATCTTGTAAAAATGATGCACAATTGAACAATCCATAAAACACTGACTATGGGGACAAAAGTCGATCCGTGGACCATGATACAAGTTGTGCAGGCTACAACTTCCCCAAGTTAGGAACACCTCGACGCAAAACAACCCAAAAACATGGTCTGGAACCGCCAGCTGTTGCACCTCCATCGCGTTCTCAGGTGAAGCTTTGCATGGTGAAGCTTTGCATGGCGAAGCTTGCGGTTCCAGGTTTGCACAGAATTCATGTCCATACACGGTCCAACGCTGCTGGCCATGCCGAGATGGTGTGCAAATACTGATGAACAGTTGACAACTTGTGTACTGTGCACCCAAACACAGAAACTGACCCAATATCCGGGCCAAATAATTACTGTGGGAGCTGGGAGCAATGCCCAACTCATAAAATGGTGTGACTGTGGCACTGAGGAAGTGGGACCAACCGAGAATGTTGAACGTGTAATCTGTAGACTGTCACTGTATTGCCGGAATGCATATCCATATACATTGCCGACCCTCAAAGATATCCAAGCTTCAATGTTCGTCTGCGCTTGTGCCTCCTGCACAGTGGCTTCAGGCTTCTCCATGGAAAAAAAGAATCGGATCACCACTTGCCTTTCCAATTGATCACAAAACTGTCGGTGAACACCCTATTCAGCGGAGTCCTCCAAGCACACCAGTGACAACTGCCGTGCAACCTTCGTAATTAGGAACCTCTCGGGAAGTCTAGAAGCTCAACCCCCGCCATCGCCTGCGCCTGCCATGTTTTGGGAGGACTGCTGTAGTATTTTCATCAAGATTCAACAGTCTTTCATAGATCATAACACACTACGACTCACTCACATGCAAGTGGAAAGCCCTGCGTTTCTTTTTACAGTACGGATTAGTCCTCCCAGGGTCTATTGTCCACCTTACTATCGAAACAAAGGGTATCTGACAAAACTTAGCCCGGGGAGCTGTCCATGAGAAATTACTGTATATGTGTGATCTGATGTGATCTGCAACAAAAAGAGACGCTTCAAGACATGACATTGCACAAATATGGTTCAGTTCCCCCAGTGGCCTAGTGCAATGCCTCAAACTAGTGCAATACTGTGCAATGGGGTATCTGCCACAAAATGCACATCACCTTTTGCAGTTGTTTCAAACAAAAAAAACTCACACCATCCTGTACAGGTCCCATTCCATCAAACCGCTGCTTCGTCCTTCTCATTTTTGGTTGCCGATCTCGTCTCATAGGTCTCACTGTGCGGCTCGTGCCAGGATCATGTGTGACACGTGAATCGCCCGCCTCTCCTCCTCAGTGAGCCCGGGGTGCCAAAAACGCAGCACCAGAACATAGCGAGGACGGCTGGACTCATTCTTCGTGGAATGGATGAAGGTGGTATCCAGAATCACCATTTCACCTTCTTTCCAATATTTCTCCTCATTGCCCACTGTGATGGAGCACTTGCCCTCTTCAAGTTCCAGAGCCAAGTGCGATGTGAGAACATAGTTGAGATTGTCAGAGTGCGGCGCAATCGTTGTGCGTGGCGGCATCTTTGCAAAGAATGCTTCGAAGGGCTTGATACCTTGAAGCTGTTTGAGCACCCCTGTGGTCACCTTGAAGCGTTCTGGATCTTGCCATTTATCTTCTGTGAGAACTCCCATGATCTTCCAATCTTTTCCATATGCTTCATTGGATTTCTGATAGGCACCCGGTGTCCAAAGAGACTCGTCCAAATTCTTCTTGAGCTCTTGCCTAATTTGCTTCCAATGCTTCTTCAACTCAGCACACCAAGGATGATCTTTCAGATCATGGAAGGGACAAACGGGCATCAAATTCTCCACATATCCTGGCGCCAAACGACGTCCAGTTGGAAGCTCTTCCTGGAAAATGTCATTGCTTCCAACCTTGAACTTGCTTAAGGAACCTAAAACGACGTTTAAACAGAAAAAACACATATTTCCCAGAAGGGGATTTAAGTGTTAAGCATAGGGAAAACACAAAATCACCTGATTCGCAAAACCAGGCAACTCTGTGGTACATCTTCTCGATGCGTCCGAGGCGCTCGCCGGCACCCGAACCAAACTCGCTATCGATGATCTTTTTCCTTTTTCGCTGTTGGAACAAACACACACGGAGAGCAGAGAAAACAGTCCACAACACATACGTCGACAGAAAAAACACAAGACCCCCCAAAAAAATGCTTCTTTGTAGAAGGTGGATTTCACCAAAATGAAAGATAATGTGACACCCAAAAACAAGAGGCAAACGAAGAAAAACTGGACTAAAAACATCTAAAAACCAGGTCAGTCTCAATCCTGGCACCAAGGCAGCAGTAACTCGGGCTCGGCGCCTTTCCCATTCTGCTGCTTCTTTCTTTGCCTCGCTGTCGTCTTCTTTCAGACCTTCAGCTGGAGGCTGTGGTGCAGGCCTTCTCCTTCTCTTCAATTGACAAGACAGCTGATGTTTAAACTGCTCCATCATCCCCTCAAAGGTTGACATGCCGTTCACTGACATCAGGACGTCGTTCACTCGCAGAGCAAGCGTGTCATTCTGCTTGTTCCAAAGGTCCACGATGCCTCCTTCTCTGATATCACTAATGCGATGCCCACCGTCCTCTAGTGGCTCCACGTCGATCATCATGCCAAACTTTTGAGAGATCTCCTCCCGGCTGATGATGACCTCGGTCTCGTCATTGGTCACCACCTTTTCCGATGCCTTTGCTTCAACTTGGGAGTCCTGAGAAATCTCTTCCTTTCCTTTGTAGCCCTCCAGCCGATCCTTCGCCATCAGAGACCGCCTCTTTTGGGCGAGTCGGGGATGAGGCGCTCGGGGCAGCGCTTTTGAGGAGTCGTCAATTTGCAGTCTTTGCTGCTAATGAAGCGGAAGAGTTTGAGCCCAACTCGCTGGAGCGGTTTTTCCTCCAATTGCTTCGCCGTCACCGCTTCTCACCATCCTACAAGTACTCTATTCCTGGGTTGCAACATTTGGTTTTAGCCCAAAGAGGCAGGAAAAGCAAGGATGTTGGCAGGACGTTGCAACCTCTGCTCTAGTCACCTTCGCTGGGCCGCTCCGCGCCTTCTCCAGCTGCTGCCAGATTTCCTCGGTGGCCCAGGGCGGCAAGACCTTCAAGGCCTTCGCTTGGCTGGCGCAAGCGCCCAGGAAGTCGCCGCCTCACGCGCAATCCGAGAAAATCGGAGATGTTCATCCGGATGTCTCTTCTGGGCATCTAGAATCTCTGGTGAACTACCTTTAAACATGTCTTCTTACATATCACATCTTGTTCAACTTAATAGTTTAACATTCCACGGCCAAAACCCAGCATATCTTGAGGAATCTTGAAGATTATTGTATAAATACATATAAAGACTGTCGTACTATTGGTGGATTGGAGGTTCAAACCTGAGAAAGTAAGTGCAAACAACACGCGGTCTCCACAACTGTGGATGATCTCCATGATCTCAACATGGATACCAGCAGGAGAGCAGCTCGCTCTAGACAGCCGTATAGGCACATGTACTGGGTGGACCTTTCGACTGGTTTGAAAAATTTTTTTTGTCATTCAGGGATAGTAGGGTTTGCAAAGCCTGGTGTTGGTAGAGTAATGACAAACTGCAATAATGCATCGTTTTCTTTCGAATCTCATTCAAATTCATTCAAATTTAGTTCAAATTTGCAAGACTAAAAATTGAAAGAAATTTGAATGAATTTGAATGAAATTTGAAAGAACCATGTGTAAGGGTCACCAATTCAGGGACTGTCATGTTACGACATGGGCAGGAATTTGTGCAACTTGGATTCAAGTGAAACCCAGAAGGCAAGACCTGAAGGCAATGGATTTGTTTCTCAAGCCTCGTGTTTCAGAATTGTTGCCTTGATGATGGTCTTGCCATGTCATCGATTGTTGCAGTGTGTTGCATTGTTGGAGCAGCCTCAGTGTTGTCGCCTGGATAAAAAGTTCATCTCACGGTGCCTCCTTGAACTTTGCATACTTTTAAATTTTACCATGTGACTGATGAGCTTGATGTTTGATGGTCATCATTGTCATGTGACACGAGTCTGGCAACTTGAAGGCCTGTCAGGCCGACTTCAACTTGGACTCTCTGGCCCTTGAAGTGACGCTTCACATTGTTCGCATGGCAGCCTGTGCGCAGTTACAATTGGTTTAGTTTGTTTGTGGAAGTCTTTTGCGGCAGGCAAGTGGTTCAAGCAGCTAAGCTAGTCACTCCTGCTGCCAGGTGATAGTTGACCACATGCCAAAGTCTGATCCCCATCCTGCCACCTTTTTGAGACATCAGATTTCTTGTCAGCACGTTGCCCCATCGAAAGAAACTACTTTAAGGCCCATGAAGGTCATGAAGAAGAAGGCTGTGAAGAAGTATCATTTGAAGAAAGAGAGCCTTGCTTGACATGACGAGCTTTAAACTGATTTTTTTGATGCTTACCATTACAGTTGTTCCTGCTGAGGAAGTGCTTCCGGAAAACCAATGTGCCGATCCCCATTGATGGCCCAGCTGATGTCAAGTCTTCCTTCACCTGGGCCAAGGTGTTCATGAAGAGAATGGAGCGGGCCCTGGGCAAGGACTTTTAGCAGACGTTTACGGTCATGGTCGTGGTGTATGGGCACTGCTTTCTTGGGCTGTGGGCTGTGCAGAGTCGGTCATTAGCCTTTTAACAAATGTTTCAATTTCTTGCGCATGTGTGTGCCACTTGTCCCCGATTCTGAGAGGGAAAGATGGACAGTTTGCACCAAGGCAGCTTTGAGTTTGTCGAATGCTGCTAAGCCATATACGTCGTCTTCATCCAGCCATCCAGTGATCTTCGACTGGGCTGTGGAATGCAATGCCAGTTGTCAGAAGGCAGGGCACACCTCACCCAGACTGTTCATGCATCATTGGGTCTGAGCTGAGTAATTACTGTGATCAGTTTTTGGATGATTGAGGTACTCAAGAATACATATGGCATGTGCGTTGCTCCAGATATCATGGGATTCTTTCCGGAGAAGGGGAGCTGCCACTGCATGACACATGACAAGGTTTGCCCAGTGAAGTCAACTACTCGCAGCTTGCACGCACATTGAGAGTTGGTTCATGTCAAGCACACAACGTAACGGGACTGCCTGCTGAGGTATGCGTGTCAACGTGGCAGGAAGGACTGACAGAATTGAAAGACAGGCGGTTGTCAATCTTTGCCACATGCACGATAGATTTGATTTGAACCTTGTTTCAGCCAGGAGGTCCATGTGTCTCATATTCCATGATGGGCAAGCGGCGGCAAGGCCCCTGATCCTGTGGTCAAGACACATCGGCGATACTTCAAGCTTCACAAAAATGGTGACAACAGCGACATTCTGCTGTGGGAGAATGTCACAGTATGGCAGGTCATGCACGCGTGCATTGATCCACAATTGTTTGGTCTTCCAGCCAGCAGGACACGCCTTTACGCGTTGGCCTTCAGGACGGACCGTCTTGCCTGGCACCCTGACGTTCCGGACCTGCAGCAGTTGTTGAGGACATTGACTTCACGTGTCCACGGTAATTTCACATGTGATAAGTTCTGGTGGTCATCCAAGCTGGCGTGCCGTTTGTCACATGCTGATGCACCATGCTCGAACCAATTGGTGGTTTATTTCAATCGCTTCATTGATGTTATTGCTATTTTATGCGCTATTAGCCCATGACCGGCCTGAGGCAGCCAACCTCAAACAACACAGCAAGCATACGCCGAAGAAGGTCATCGTTGACTTGTCACAGATGGCAAAGAATGGTCGCGGACGCCCAAGTCCTTTGCCAACATTGTTGACAACTTCGGGGCGGGATGTTCTACAAGGCTAGCTGCAAACAATGCGTTTTAGACAGGCAGTCTGCTTATTACTTCACCCTATCTTCACCCTTTGTTTGCCGCAGGTGAAACAGCGGTTCCTGAGCGTGGAAGAGGCCTTGTCCACACACTGCATCCCTGTGACACCTGAGGCAGCCAAGGCCAGCAGTAGCCCACAGTTGGACATTAGCCATGTTGCACATGGGGAAGGTGTCAAGATGGCATGGAATGCCATGAGCTTGCCCTGCGTTGGCGCAATGCTTTTGTGTGCTGTAATTGGCTTGACCAAGTGACACTTGCCACTTGCTGTATGACAATTGTTGAAGCTCAGACCCAGCTATTTGTGTCTGGGCAGGGGTTAGACAGTGGACCAACTGTCTTTTCAATATTCGATGCGGAGTGCAGGGGATTTGAAAAGTGCATGACAGATTGATTTGCTTGGACTTGGCGAGATGAGATTACCTAGGCGTTTTCCGGAAAACGCCTAGGTAATCTCATCATTCACGCATCATGATTTACTTTGGCTTTACTTAGCTAAGTAAAGAGCATGTAATCATTTGGAATGTGCACATAAGATTACCTAGGCGTTTTCCGGAAAACGCCTAGGTAATCTATGAAGAAAAAGTTGGAACATTACCTCCTATGACTAATGTTGTCATTTTCTGCTGCAGTGCCACTTGCCCCCTAACAGTTGGCCGAGCCGCCATCAGACCGGGCCACCATCAGCCATGGCTCCAAAGAATCAGACTTTGACATCGCTTCTGGAACACGCTCAAAACAATCCTGATGTGGTCTCTGCGGCTGGATGTCATGAAGGTCCTGATTCCAGATGCGACATGTCTTGTTATTACACATGGCCGTTGCAGATGAGAAAGAGTAGCTGCCTTTTGGGAACTCGTTTTACCTGTCGCTGTTTTTTGTGCAATCAAGCTGTATAGCATGTCAGTGAGTTTTGCTTTGTGGTGGCGTGGAGTCCGTGTATGTACTTGGCCAGCGGTGGCCCACAGCCGGACATTTGGCCATGTGACAGCGCCAAAACTCTCTCATGGATATTTGGTTACAGTTGTGAGTTGTGATCCATTTGCGTCTCCCGAACCGAGGTGAAAGAGAAGTTGATGCCCGTACTCAAGAAGTTGAAGCTGATTCAGAATGAGGTGAAGGATTTGGACTCGGTGCCACCGTTGGCGATGCCAGAACAGTCAAGTGCCACTGACATCTGGCACCGCGACAAATGGCAGCAAGAGCAGAAAGGTGTGCTCATACAAGGAGATGTGGAAAAAGGACAACGCCGTCCAAAGGCTTCGCACAAGTGCATTGTATGAAGCAGGTGGGAGTGGTTTCTGGATGTCTTGCAGCCCGGTTGACAACTTGCCACTTACTGCTGAAGGCGATGTGCCGCGTGAAACTGATGCCAGTGCCACGTGGCCGATCCACCTTGGCAGCTGGAACCAGTTGACACAGGCCAAGGCTCCTTTGATCCAAGCCCGCATCATCATGGCCGGATTCTTTTCCCTGTGACACTTGAGACAGCTGTCAAGTGCCCCAACTGACGTCGTGTCTCCCAGCACTGGTGAGCATCCGGCCAGTTTGAAGCTGCTGTGCGGACATTTGATACATGCCGCATGGTGGCTGGCAATGCACGAGGCGATTGTGGCAAGTGACAATGAACGGATTGGGGCATTGTTTGAGGCCATGTTGACAGTCACCATTCGGGTCACCCTCTGGCTGTCAGATGCTAATGCGATGAAGGTGGCTGTGGCGTCAGCAAAGCGCACACGTGCTCTTGAGGTGTCATGTGACAACTGACCACCTTCGCCGACAAGTTGAAGATTGTCGTGGCTGACATTGTGTCATGTGACAGCGTGAACGTGACACATGCCAAATGCCTCGAGAAATTGCGGCAAGATGGCGTGCTTTGGCAGGGCTAGTTTCATGTGACTCGATGTCAAAGAATCTGTCACGCGGTGCCGAGCCTTGCAGTCGTTCCTGGAGTCGAAATATGGCAGGTGCCTTTTGACAGATGGACCCGCGCTGCTTTATCGGTTGATAGTGTCTGTGGCAAAGTTCATTGACAAGCTCCGCTTGGGTCCCGAGCCAGGTGTCACTGATGCATTGGAGATGCTGCTCAGTTCTCTTCACTTGAGGCTGAGACAGTGACATGTGACACTGTGACCACGCAATTCTTGACAGGAAAGGAGAAGTCTTCTACAAATGGAAAGCAATGCTGGGCAGCTATGGGTCTCATGTTAATTGCTGTCATGCAGCAGGCTCGCAATGTGATTGCATTGATGGCAGATGCGACAGCTAACTTGAAACTCGTGGTGGAGACACTGCTGAACCCGGTCTTGCGGCGCCAAGAGATTCTGAAGCAACCCAAGCTGATTCAGGATTGGCTTTGCATTTTTTTGCGGACTGTCATAGGGGTTCATTCTGCTGTGTACTTGACTACAATTGTGCTAACTGACACGTGTGGGTGTGGTCACAATTTTTACCAACTGACAAGAGGCATCATACATTAAATACACCGCTTTGTGATTCAGAATATTAATAAGCGGCGTGCCGTGAAGGCCAACAACACACAGCACGTGGCGTTTGACGAGATCAGCCGCACCACCATTGAGAGTTTGAAGAGAGGCCTGTGCGCAAGCGCAGATTACAAGCGCTTCGAGCCCTTGCTGGACTGGGGGTATTCAATGGCGGATGCTCAGATGGCATGTCACATTCGTGACCTGGTGACGTGTGAAGTGAAGATCTTGTTGCAGCGTTGGAAAGCAATGACAATCCGTGCCTCAGTGAGCTGAGAGATGCGCTTGCTGCCCTGACGGAGCAGACACGTACCACTTTGACGCATCAAGATTGTGCCCCGAAGATGTCATGGAGACAATTGGCACGTGTCAATAGTGATTCCAGATGTGAGAACGCCGACCTTGGCACGGGTTCACGGGTCAATGTAATTGATGCCACGTGGAGTCATTCGTTCAGCTTTCTCAAATTGTAGCCACATTTGTCATGTGCCTTGAGCTTGTTTCATCTCAGTTGCTTGATTGCAGGAAGTGTGGGCGAAAGCGGCGGCTACGCGAAAAGGCCTCATTCACATCGATCATGGCAAGAAGGTCACCAGAGATACATTGAAGCAGTGCTTTGACCAGTCACCTGCCAAGAGCTTCAGTGGAACCTTGAATGAGAAACGCATGATGCTGGTCGTTTCCTGTGCTTGGAAGAGAAATCTGGTTGGTTGGCCCCTCCGCCTCCGGCTGGCAAAATCGGCGAATGAAAGGGCGAGCGATTGATGATTAAAAGATTGCAGAAAGGCAGAAAAAAAAATCCACCAAATGTCCACCCAGTGTAGCACGGCACGTTCAGCGCGTGCAGCCCGACTCTGCTGCGAATAATCCCGAGTACCTACTAAAAAGCGGACCCCTATTAGAAAAAGGTCATGTCGGAAACCTCTAAATACGGTTTATATTTGTTTTTAAATTACCGCCCTTTCAAGCCGCTACTAAGCTACCAACATTGCCGACCTTGGAGGAGTTTTTTTAATGAGGTTCCAAAAACAATTGTAACTGCCCACCTCTGTCCGCCCTGTCTATCCACCATGACACGCCGCGCTTACACCAGCAGGCTTTCCTTCCCCCAATGGCACGGACTCACGCAAACGCACTTGCCACCGAGGTCATGCAACACCGCATGGCACAGCGACATCACCTTTCGAAAGCTTTAGCTGTTATTCTACTGAAGAATCACTATTCTAATGAAGGTTTTTGTAGGGGAAAAGGAAGACCCTTCGATCTGGAGCTTTTTTGCATTTTTGATACGAGTTTAATAAAGGATTTTATATAAAATTTTACTGATTTACTTTTTGGTTTTGAAGCTCTTCCCAGGCGACCTATTTTGGACCCCCCGATTTCAGGGACCCCCTATTAGAAAAAATGCGACCGAGGTTTCCTTATTAGGGGGGGGGTACGTGTTTTTTATTAGGTGGACCGGATTATACCGGACCAGAACACCAGTCGCAAGATCATATTTGGCCCATGGGACACAAACCATGAAAGAAAAAACACCTGATTCGATATCGCGAATGTGAGAAAAAACGATTCGAGGTTTCGAGGTCATAGCCGACTCACCACTTTCGATGTCATTCGATGTGTGAGGCTCCGGGCATTTCAGCTGTGACATGGCCATGTTCACCAAGGCTCTGGGGTAGTGTGGCTGACACCTGGGAGTGGAACAGGGAGCCATGTGGAGCCATGTGGAGCCATGTCGGAGCCATGTCGGAGCCATGTGGAGCTCGGGAACCCCCTACCCCTCGCGGTAAGGGTGTAGGTCGCGGTAGCCGTTTTCCGCCGCCGCCCTGGTGAAACTGCAACAACACAGACAGGTAAATCTGTAAGCTACAAAAAAAACAAACTTGACAGGAACATGGGGCCATCATGGGGCCACGACTCAGTCAACTCCGACCCTCGTCCTGTCAACATGTTGTGCGCTTCTGCAATATGAAACAACGAAACCAGTTGTTCTTCACCCAACTCACGACTGGAGTCCCAAGAAAAAGGCACCTCAGCATCTCCTATTTCTAATCATCTACAACCTCTGAGTTGCTTTATGATGTTTCCTCGGTTCTTGTGCCACCCTTCTCTCTTTCCAAACGTTGCCAGGCCACTGCAAGGCTTGGCGCCACACACTGATGGCCTTTTCCGGTTGGCCCCGGTTGGCCAGAACTGCACCGAGCATGTTCCACCTGTCGGACGCGTCAGTGCGGGCGGCCGAGAAGGCATGACGCTCAGTGAATCCTATCCTTTTGGGGGGAGTGCAAAGGCATATGAAGGCGACAATGTCTGGGTTCTATGATGTGAGAAGAAAACACCAGGAAAGCACTGTATACACATCAGTGAAGCCACTTCGCTCATGTCAACTGATCGTCGCTGGTCTCTCCTGCCTCGTCGCCCTGCGCTGCTGGGTACCAAAGAAGCTGTCACCCTCCTGGGCGCGATCTGTGTCGCGGCGTGATATGCCAGAAGATGCCGTCGCACCGTTAACGCACTAGTAACCTGAAGCTACTAGTAACAAGGGCATCGCTACTAGTAACAAGGACGCTGCTAGTAGCTCCTGGCATCACTACTAGGAGCAAGAAGGTACTAGTAACAAGGGCATCGCGTACTACTAGTAACCAAGGGCATTACTACTGGGAGCGAATAGCTACTAGTAGCACGTTAACGCTACGTTCCACCCGTGTTGCCCAGGCGACCTTTGTTCCGATGGTCACAAGCTTAGCGAGTGCTGCCCAAAGCAACACACATGCCAGTGTGAGAATAGCCTTCCTGATGACATACACCAATACAAACCACCAATATGGATGAGTATAGTATTAAAATATATGCATTATACAATAGTGACTCAATGACCATACCGAAGGGGGTACAAACACACAGGACTCACTAGACCCTATGACTTGTAGCTCATGGGGTCTTCATTTTGAAAGCTGTGTTACCTAAATATACAAATACTTATTATCTTGAAACTGGTCCCGGTACCACCTCCTGCCAGCAAACTAATGTCTAGCAAACCAATATCATCTTCAAAAGCAAAGGGCTGGGCTGGTTGCCATGCTAGCTCCAGGACCTCTAGGGGCATCTCCGAGATGACTATGAATGGGTTTGTTTCCTTCTGGTGGATTGACATCTGAATGCGTGGGAAAGCCTAATGAGACGACCAAATACGAACGACCAAATGGACGACCCTGACCATTCCTTGAGGTCATCCAAGATCACTGCATCGGCAAAGGTGTTCACCAGTGACTCCTGTAGCGTGTCACAAAAAACACAAAAAAAGAAGAAAAAAAAGAATAAGACACATAATAACACGAAAAATAAGAAGAACAAGAACAAGAACAAAACCAATAACAATAACAAAAACAAAACAACAAAACAAAGTAAAGAAGTTTTATAGGGCGTTGGTGCACCTAGCCATGGCGTTGCAGGGGTTTTCAGGAAAGTAGAAAGTACTAGTACACGTGTACCTTTTTCCCGCCAGGGGATCTTTCTCTTTTGTTCTTTTGCCGAGCTCACTGCTCCTTTCAGCGACCTCGCCTCACTGCCTCACACACATGGAAAGCAGTACACCAAGAGAGAGTAGAGAATTGGTAATTAGTCTTGGAGTCTTTGTGAGGCCTTAAGTACTTCCTCCAAAGATATGGTGCCTTGGCCCCCATGGAAGAGGAATCCTTGATTGAATTGTTGATGGCTGGTTGAAAGGTGAATCGGTCCACTTAACTTATAGTGAGCATAAGTCACACGCTCACAAAGGGCCTTTGTGCTCCTAAATAAGAGGCATTGTGAATCGCGCCCTTAACTTGCAGTATACGAGAAAAGGGGCCAATGTGAGTATAGAAATGTATCATTGTGACCTCTCAGCAAGGTGAAGTGAAAACCAAATTCCTTCATCATATATCCATCGATAGTGCATCTAGCAAAACAAACAATCTTCGTCGGCCTCAGGTAGTCCCACCAACTCCGAGCACAGAACAGCCCCGCTAACGCCTGGCTTTGGAGGAGCTGCATCAAACCCAAGGCCACCACCGTGTCCGCAGTGCCCTTGCCCTGCAAACACGAGAGTCTGCGAGTCCGCTTGGCGGGTCAAGACCCCCAAATGGGGAACTTTTTGTGGACTCTATGTTGGCTTGCTTGTAAAGGGACGGTAGAGCAAATCACAGCATCGGCCCCTCTGCACGGTTCTAAGTTCTAAATGGGTATGCAATTGATCCAGTGATGAAACCAAGGCAGTGGCCAAGAAACGGGGAAGCAAACCTCCGACCGGTTCATACAACTCATGGGATCTATCGATGGCTCCAAAAGCTCCCGTGCGTCCGCTTGCGTTCCGAAGCAGAAGCGTCGCGACGACGCCGATGGCGAAGGACCGGTGGACCACCCGACGATCGAACGAAGGACAGGTCGGTCTGGCGCGTGTCCCCGCTGCTCTCTTCGGCACCTCCTCTTTCAAACGCTGCAAACGTTCAACCACCGAGCCAGCTTCGCCTGGTCAGTCGGCTGGTCGGCTTCCAGATGTGGACGGGGACCTCTACAAAGTATAGATGCATGTCACGTCTGTGAAACATGAGGCTTGCTCGTTTGTGGTTTTGCTATATGTTGCTTTCATAGAAATACATTGTGTAATTGTGTATTATGTATATCTATCTACATAAACTTATATTACAATTACAGTTCATGGATGTGTTGTAAACATTATCATGGATGTTTTGTCAACAAAATGTAAAGGTAAACTATGGTAAACTGCTACACACCCTTTGTTTTCTAGAATTTGCGAAAATTACAAACATGTATATATACTCTTCCACTGTTTCATGCACACACAAAGGTCCACGTGCCTCTTGGTATTGCCAGAGTATTGCTGGATCCTCTGGACACCCCCCCCCTCACTGAGCCAGTCGTCACACACTGTCCTTGAGCGTCACTCCCAGGTCCCTCCCTGCCCGACCTGGGTGTGCTAACTGGAGCCACTTCTCCAAGCACTCGGAGATGTCGGCCTCGAAAGGCGAAGACGATGCGTCAGGCGGACGGAAGTTCAAAGTGTTCCCGGTGTGCAGTTGGATTCACCTCCCTAGGAGCTCCTTCCTAGTAGGGAGCTATTTCTACTGGTGAAGCATTTTTCGAGTAGGGCTACTCAATGACTGGACGGCTACCATCATTGGGTACCTACTTTCCTCCCAGGGAGCTGCCTCTAGTAGAAAGCAATCAAGCCTTTATTTGCGCAAGCAGGGGACCAGGAGACCGAAAGACGAGCGGAGTAGGAGAGCAAGAGACCAGCGGACCAGGAGACAGAAGGACCAGGATACCAGGGGACCAGCGGACCACAGGACCAGGAGACCGGAGGACTAGGGGACCAGTGGACCAAAGGACCAAGGGACCAGGGGACCAAAGGACCAGTGGACCAGAGGACCAAGGGACCAAAGGACCTTATTACCAGAGGACCCTCAGACCACAGGGCCAGGAGAGCAGCAGAAGAGGCCTATCAAGGAATAGTGTTTTTTGATTCGCTTTTTATGTGTTTTTTTTTTAAATAATCCTTTTATTTTTTGTTGATGCTCGTTCTATTTTTTGTTGATACCTATGCCAAGAAATACAGTTTGGCGCCCAAACTACACAGGTTGTAGCATTGTTCCTGGCGCAAAAGGCGACCAGATCCGTCGACGTTCCCCGTGATCCGACCGATGTGGGGAACCCACGCGCCTCAGCATCGGAAGACTCGTTCAAGAGGCAAATGGCCTTCAACAGCAAGGCATGTTGCCTGCGCTGTAAGGAACGGCTGCAAATGGGTTCGTTGGTTGGCTGGAAGAAAGACTGGGGACAGGTTTCAGGACACTTACTGTTACAGTTCTCGAAGTGGCAGCACGCTGGACAATCACCCATAGTGGACTCAGTGGACAGTCCAGAATCATTGGGTTGTGCCTGATCCAGTCGCCAGTTGATGTATTATATAAAGACCTCAATATTTAGATCAGTGAGCTTTAAAAAAGGGCACATCACCATTATCACCTCCATGATTGTTTTCTGTTTTTCTGGAGAATCCCGCGCTGGACTCCGGCAGCTTCACCTCGACTCACAACAGCACTGCTGCCTCAGCGGTTGTGCAGCGCTCTCAGGCTCTGCTGGGCGTTCGAAGACCTCGAACGAACGACCAAACGCGCTGCACGAACGAAAGCCCAGCGATGTTGGGAGGCCTCCGGGGGGGCCACCGGGCCCCCCTGGGGCGCGGAGTCCTATATAGACGGCACCAAGTCGGATAGCGAGGGGGGAGAAAACCATTTTTTTGAGCACAAAAGGGGCACCCAGTCGAGGTACTGATGTGCACTCAAAGAGGTGCTGAAACATAGACAGAGACGAGATCAACATATCTATCAGTTTGTTTTTCTATTGTTGATATTGAATTTGACATACATCCCCTGATCGAATGATCTACAACAAAGAATCTTTACGTGATAGGCGTCCAGGGGTTCTTCCAGTCAGTTGGTGCTCCAGCTTTGATTGGGTGATACACACAGGGTGGAATCAAATATTAGATCTTCATAGCGTGATAGACTTGGGGGATCCTCCAACCTTTGCCCAAAAACAACTACAAATTCAAACCATAGCCTCTCCAACCACGAAGCTCCATGCCAACTGTGTATCCCCCCACGAAGCCTCCCTAGTCTCTGTGAAGCGTGACATGCCAACCGGCATGAAACAGCCACACATAAGCCCGAGTGGTGCAAATCCCTTTCAGCCCCTCCTCGACCTGCCACATCCCTGAGATCCCGAACTGTATTGAAACACCGCAAAGCCAAGCGATCGATGTTCAAGTCCATGAGCAGGGCACCGTAGTCCAAGGCGTAGCTCAAGTGGGAGAGCCTCACTTTCTGTTTTAAAGCCCATGGCCTCCCCTACTGAATTAAGGGAGTGAAGTAGCAATACGAATCAACGGATAGCTCAAGCTCCACCCGCCTGAGGGCAGGCAGGGGGGGAGCGTCCTTTTTTTTTTGCTCTCATGCCGGACAGGGTAGTTGCGGCGACCCTGGAGCGTTCCGCGTCCAGGGTCAGGGTTCCATCTGTAGAAGCCAACAACGACTCACAACAGCGAGTCAAAGGGAATGGTCCATGACAAAGGGGTGGCCTTCGCCCCTTTTTCAAAGGCCCGAACGAGCATCTCAAGTGGCATATTGCCCAGGAAAGCTTCGGCACCGAAGAAGGCACCTTTAGGAAAAGTCTTACCGTTGCACTTGTTCCCTTTCTGCAGAAGCGAAGGGGCAATGACAACATTTCTGCCCTTACAGTAAGTGATGGCCGCGCGAATGATGGCCGCATAGGCCTGCACTGTGCACACAGTTCCAGCTGGGAGGACAAACCTTGAGCCTTGATGAAAGGCCAGAACGGCAAGCTCAAAAACAGAGCAAGCTAGACCATCACCAACCCGCCATTGCAATGTGTTGCTAAAATGTAGGAAGGTGCGAAAGTTCACTTCAGAAAGGGCTTTGGTGTTGGAAAAGGGCATCTGCACATCATTATGGAATTTCCAAGTGAACAAATCAGTGGAAACATCCCATGACCATCTCGGACATTGTTGTCGAGGAGGGACATGCGGTGGCTGTGCCTGTAGCACAACTGCCTCCGATTCGGCAGGGCGTTCGGGCTTCCGACAAGTGCGATTGAGCTTGGCAAGCCATAATTGGCGTGCGAAAACGTCAGCCTCCTTGACCTGGACATCGGCTTTGATCTTGCTTGCCATCACATGAATTTGTTGTTTGGCAAATCGGTCAGCCAGTCGGTTCAGAGTGATGTCTCGGACGTTTGAGCCAACAGCTGCTGCCGCAACCTCTGTCACACTCTCTGCTGGGATGTGCTCAAGAAGGTGTGCAGGACACCAAGTCAGTTGAAGGGGGCACTCACAGAAGCCACTTCTCTGATGGATAAGGTTGTGCAGGAATCCCCACCAGTTAGAATGGGTCCAGTCAATGCGCCCCACCCCTACTCGGAGAAGCTCGTTGAACTGGTTGACAACTGTTTGAGAGTCGGTGTGAATCTCCAAGGGCCCTTTGGCACCTGCAAACGCAGCGAGAATTGCCCATAGTTCGGCACTATAACTGGACAGCCTCCAATGTCGGACTAAACCAGCGGACAACAACTGCTCATCATCTCCAACAACCGCAAAGGATGCCACAGTCAGCCAGGGATGACTGGCAAGCTGGACGGACCCGTCCGTCCAAACATGTTGTACGCTAGGTACGGGTGCACTCCATGCATATACTGCCAGATCAGATGGTTGGGAAACTCGGAGTTTTGCCCGTATGTCTTCAATCGGAGTCTCAACAATTCCAAGCTGATCAAAGTTCGGCCCGAAAAAGAAACAGGTCGACGGTTGGCGAAGGTCCTCCGGCAACGCTGTACACTCCTCCACAAAGTGGCATACAGATTCCTTGGCACCTCCACAGAATCTACACAGGGCTGAATCGATAAGCCCTGAGGCAGCTAAGCGGTCCGCTGTGAGAGTACAGCCGGTGATTGCACTCTCCCAGTGAAAGGAGAAAGAGAAGTTGTCGTTGGGGACCGCCAGCATCTTTTTCTTAGCCGAGAGGGTGAGGCTGAGATCCAGAAACCCTTGTGCTTTGTGAATGTCTTTTCTTGGCATCAGACAAGCAACACTGTAGCACTTGTGAGCCGCTACACTCTTCAAGATGCACTTCAAGTCAGTCAAGGAAAACTCCAAGAAGCTAACTTCCGGTGCTTGGAGGAACGAGAAGCCAAACGGGCTGCACCACTCAATGTCTAGCACATGACATGCTTGGCTGAACTGCATCATCCAGGATTGCGGAGTAAACTGGTCCTGCTCATAAATCGCTTGCCACGACTGTCTTGCAAAGTGAGATGTTCGTAGGAACCGCACTGATTCAATGATTGTCGTGACTGCACGATACAAAAAGGGGTCCAATTTGTGTGCCTTGTGGACAACACAGAGGAGGAGGTGCTTGGATCGCCACTTGGGTCGTTCTTGCCATATAGCGTCCGCAATGGCGCACTGCAATCTGGCCAGCAATCTCTTTGGGAGGAAGTTAAGCTGCGGTGCAAACGCTACTTGAGGCAGAACCTTAGTGGTCAGAATCTGCGCCCTCTTGTAAGCATCACAGGGGAGTGCACGAATCGCTTCACAGTCTCGCAACGCTGCTTGCAGCTTGGTCAGCGGGAAGCTTCCAACGTTTTTCCGTGTGGTCTGGACATGTGCCCCAAGGGTGTTAACGACCTCAACAAGTCGCATCTGCGGCAATGCAGTCTTCAGAGCCTTCCGCAAATCCGCTGTAGTGGCAAATAGTTCACATTTCCCAGCGTTTAGGAACTGGCCACACAAGGAATCCCATAACTCCGTGGCTCGGACAGCAGCAACCAGATTGTCAATGGAGGGCAGCCGAGTCCACAGATAGGTGTCATCAATGAAAGCTCTGAAATCAACTCCATCAATATTGCAGATAATCCAGGCCCAAATAGCCATGTGGATATTGATGCAAAGCAGACTGAGGGAACAACCCTGAACAACACCATTCGGTGTAGATATGGCCTGCTTCCGCGTCCATTGTTTAAAGGACAGGAATCTCGTCATTCTTGTATACAGCGCCAGGAACCCACACACAAAGTTCTTGGGTAGTCCCAGAGCAAGCATGATAGCTGCACATAGCCTGGGCATCAAGCGATCAAAGCACTTGGCCTTATCGAGCTTGAGAGCAGCGAAAGATCCCTGAAAGGCGTGGGCTCGATCAATCTCCAGTTGCAGGGTCATATGTACCTCAGACATCAGCCTGCCTTTGATGCCCCCTTTCAATTGCGAAGGCATGATATCCTGCTGCCACCCCTGTAGCTGGCCAAAACGTAGGCCCGTGTACAACAGGGTGAATACAGATTGCAGAGAAATGAGGCGTTTGGAGGTCGGGGCATCACTACCATCCTTGTTGTGAATGACCATACGGACCTGCGTCAAGATCTGAGGAAAGTCCAGCGCGCCAGCTTCAATAGCATTGAAGAGCACCGCAACAGGTCTAAATGCTGCTGGTGGGAGAGCCTGCACTTCACGTGTTTGCCATGCATCAAGCCCTGCAGCCGCATCAACCCGACGTTTGGCAGCCTGTCTCCAGAGTTGCTCCTCTGTGATGGGAGGGAGAGCGACGGCCCGGCCTTTGTCATGTATATACGGCCACACTTGTTTGAGGATCTGCATTTCATGGGTATGCTCCGCATTCACTGCAAAGACAGAGTCCCACTTGTCGGCAATAAAGTCCATTGCCTTCTGGGGATCATAGATGATGTTCCCATTGTCATCTTCTACCAAGTTGGGCGGGACCACACGACCCTTCTTCTTGAGGTACTGGTAGACAATCTTGCCAATTGTGGGCGATGAGGTTGCAAACTTCATAGCTGTCCTCCATCGCCGGATTGCAGCAAGTTTGAGTTGCTTCATTTCTGTGCGGATAGCCTTCAAGGTGATTTCAATGAGGTGTGGTACATCATGGGCAAAAATCTGCCTGACCGAGAAGGGCACCAATTTCGCCACTTTAAGCTTCCGCAACAACCTATGCTGTGTATTGCGAAAGGTGCGCAGGTCGCCCGGCCCCGATGTTGCTCTGTTGAAGCGAGCTTCAAGTTCTCTCAAGGATCTGACAATTGATTGCAACGAGAGGAGGTGTGGCGAGGCCAGGTTGCCATTAACCTCCTGGGATGCAGAGGCCTGTACCTTGACAAATTTCGGGAGGGCGCCACGACACCGTGATCCCTTGCCCCAGGCGGCGCCATTGAGCACCAACAATTTTGCGGCATACTCATTGTAGACGGCCCATTTGGTATCAGCATCGACTGCCTGATCAAATTGCTGCGCGTAGTGGTGCCAAAGCTGCTCACTGAAGGAATTAATCGGGCAGCCAGGGTCGTTAGGGTCAGCATATTGGACATTGTCCAAGTTGAGTACAGCTGGCCGCTGCATGATGGTGCCTGTCTGCAAGAGTTTGTCCCACATGAAAGTTGCTTTAACCGGCCTATGCTGGCGGTCCTGATGGTCAAGTACTTCAATGCTAAGAAGTGCCGTTAAAGCCGTACGATTCATAAGGATGCCATCGATGGAGGATTGTCCATCACCATCTCCAGTCGCAGCATTCTGAAAGAAGGTGCATGGACGAGTCACATCGCCATCAGTGTCAGTTTGCAGAAGGGGGTCTGCCCAGCCCCAGTGGTCTGAAGCCAACTGTACTGCAGGGTACATACCCGGTTCCATCTGAAAGTCACCTGCAACCACAATGGGCACATCGCCAAACTGTGCAGCCACCTCAAAGATAGAATTGAGGATCTCATTGTTCCGGCCA